CCTGGCCTGCCCTGGGAAGGGAAAAGGACCTCTCTTCCTCAGACTGTTTTGGGTGAGGTGGGGCCTTTGACAGACTCCCAAGCACTTCCTCTTCCGTTCTCCTGAGACTAGGAAGAGGAGAGGAAAGCCTCTACGTTGTGGCTGCAGTGATCCTCACAGGAAAGAAGACCACTGAATCTTCAGCATAGCCTTGTCTTCCTTCTCTGAAAGCTGGGTCTTCAGGGGAGAATTGAAGATGTCACTAGTGCTAAAGCTTGGATAGGAGTGCTCCTGAAGGCCCATGTGTTGGACATGTGGTGCCCAGTGTGGCACTCTTGGGAAGTAGCAGTGTCTGCTCACTGTGTGTCCCTTGGGATCGCAGTCCCCAGCCCCGCCTCTCTCTCTGGCTCCCCCATGAGGTGAATAGCTTTGCTGCACCATGTGTAGCCTCCATAGGCCAAAACCCTGGGGCCAACCATGACAGACTGAACCCTCCAGACCAGGGAGCCCATGCACACTTCTCCTCCTCCCTGCATTCCTTGCAGTAATTCGAGCTGCCCAGCACAGACAGTATCCTCTCTGTGGACATCACCAGCTCCAAAGCCTGAGGGATGCCCTGTGAGGGTCCTGAAGGCTTTGCCCAGCTGTGGTCTCGGGGAAGGGGCTGGGAACTTGGAGCCTGGGATTTGGGCTTCTTTTGTAACTTCCAGATCAGGAAGATGCGTTTGATAAAGTGAGATACACGGATGTCCCATGTGGGCCTCAGTGCCTCGGTCATCACTGCACTGCTCAGGACTTAGTGCAGCTTTCTGGGAGGTGTTGTGCATGGTCCCCACCTGCCACGGGCACCTAATAAATGTCACTATCCTCCTTCCATGCTGTCTGAAGACAGCGGCAGGCTGGTGTTGCCTTCCTCCTCCAGGAGAGAAATCTGTGCCACGCAGATCAGGAACAAACCCAACAGGCTGGTCCTCTGCCAGCACTTCCCTGCAGTTTTCAATTTCTCTTTTCTAGGAATAGAAGCAGCAAGAGCAGGGAGAATATCACGTAGCAGATAACCTTCCCCCCTCCCATATTGTTTTATTATTATTTCTCCTTCAGGCATCACATCAAAAAAGAGAGAAGCTTATTTTCTGAAACTTCTTAGCTCAAAAAATAAGAAGCAGATTTTAGAGTCTGTGGCCCCTGACTTCTGGGAGCAGATGGCTTTGGCAGTGGTCCCCATCCCACACTGCCCTCAGCGTACCTCCTCCTGTTAGCCAAGGGCCAAGGCAGCACCACACGGCAGGGACATGCCAGAGCCAAGCCCAGACCAGGGAGAGGTCATGTGCAGAGCAGATTCTTGAGGCTCAAACAAAGCAACAGCTGCAGTGACCCTCTTAAAAATGTGCTCTGCAAAACATTTTAGCTCAGCAAACTTCAGAAGAAGCAGTCTAACAAATTATAAATCAATTAAAATGTAATTGCTCTGCAGTTTAAGAAACAGTTACCATCTCTCGTGTTATCCAACCCTCACGGTGACAGCAGAAGGAGACATTCATCATCCTCCTCTAACGCATGAAGAGCCAGGGGTATAGAGAAGCAGAGGGATTTGTCCAAAAGGCAGAGCACGCAAGAAGCTCAGCAGGGAAGTAGAACGGCTGGTCCACATCTCTGGTCCAAAATTGGGGTCACAGGAGGGAAACGGCTGCAGCCTTACCCAGCTCCTCACTGCTGCCTCCTGAAACGTACAGAAGGAAGGAAAGAAAGAGAAATCAAGCAAAGGAAGAAGAGAAGGAAGGAAGGGAAGAGAGAGGGATAGAGGGAAGAAGAAGGGAAGGGAGGGGAGGGGAAGAGAAGAGAAGAGAGGAGAAAGGTGGAGAGGACAGGGAACAAAGTAACCCGGTATGCCTGGCATCTCCACCACAGCAGCATCTGCTCCTGTCCCCACACCATGGGACAGGATCTAGCTCCTTATCCCACATCCTCTGGAAGACAGCACAGATATGACATAGGATAGCATGCAGAAAATCTTTGCTAAAATCAATTTTACATATTTTTTCCTCCTCAAAGTCTTACATTCAGACAACTGCTAGCATGCACCCTGTGTCTGTGTGGTGATGTCACTGTCCTGCACCCTCTTCTTGGGGACATTCCCTGCTCCCCACCTGTCATAGGGTCCAGCTCCGCCCACAGCCCTGGGTCAGCCAGCACCTCACTGTACCCTTTAAGGGCAAGAAAGGAGGAAGCAGAGCTTGTGTTAGAAAAATAAAGGAATTGCAATAAGCAGGATAGAAAGGGCAAGGCATAGGAAGAGGCCCTGGCTACAAGGAGGATATTGAGCACCCAGAGAAGATCAGTGAGCCAGGACAGGGAGAGAGTCAGAGATGGGCAATCAGAGGGGCTGGTGTGACATTGCTGGGAGGGACCAAGTGTCACCGTGGGAAGACTGGGAAGGAGAGAGAGGTCCGAGGCACCTGGTTCCAGGACCTGCGTCCAAGCAGCAAATGCAAGTTGGGTGTATTTAGCAACAAGATTGAAACCTGAAGAGCCTGATCTTGATTTATGTGCCTGCTCAGCACTGCTATGGCCCTCTCTTTGGGGAGCAAGCAGGATTGAGGGAGTTTGGGGTGCTATGCGCAGTCCATGGCACAGAGAGGCTGTTACTCCAGGGTGCTGAAACCAAATTAGGGCTTGCCACTGTGCATGGCCACCCCTCACGGTCAGCTTCAGTCTCTGTAACATCTCAATCGTCAAGGAACTGAAAATCAGAAGAAAACCCTGGGAGCCAAGCCGCATATTTGCGGGCTCTTATGTTTTGCTAGTTTGGCTGTTGCACAGGCTTTTATTAAACCCAGAGCCCCTCACACAAGCACACAAACATCTCTGAAAAGGATCCCTCTAAGCATCAAAGTGTGTGTGAGTGAGCACCAGGAGGGCCTGGCATCTCCCGCCACCTGGTTGTGGGGCACAGGTGAGAGTTCCTGGGGGTGATGGCCCTGTGCTGGGATCTTGTGCACTGGCAGGGAGAACTCTCTGCTCACCAGTTCTTGGGGGGATCTGGGGCTGCTGGGCCTGCTGTGGCTTCCATGGAGGTTCAGTGGGGTGGGTCCTTCTAGGTTTGGTGAAGTGGAAGTTTGGAGAGGTTTATGCTGCCACGGAACATGCCCTTGGCCAGGTTTGGGCATAGCTTGTGCTAAAAACTCAGACAATGTTTATTGAGCAACTGCCAGAATGCACCACACGAGGGAAGGAAGGAAGGGACTAATGCCAGGGACCTAGTTCCACCTAAGCTTCAGCACAATGACAGCGGCTGTGTCACAGGCTGCTGCTCCTAGAAGGGCAATCATGTCAGGAGAGGTGGCCCTCAGGGACAGGGCCCTGAACCTTTCTGTCTGATGCCAGCACAGGACTCAGGAAGGAGCAAGAGGAGCTTCCAAGAGGACCACCTGGACATACCAGGGAGGACTTTGCCCATCGCAGCTCTGTGTGGCACCGCAGCAAGCTCCTGTTTGTGCCAGGAGCTGCACATGGTCCAGGCCAGGGACCTGCCTCTCATGCAGGGGTTTGGCTTCAAGAGTCCTAGGGCAGATGCACCCTCTGCTGCTGTCATCACTTTCTATGCTTTTCTGTGCCTCCTAGAGCAGAACTGCTCCCTCTGACAG